ATACTCTCTCTCTCTTTCTTTTTCTTTCTCTCTTACGCTGTCTCTCTCTTCCCCTCCCCCCTCCCCCCCCAAAAATGTTTTTTTTAAAAACTATAAACTTAAAAATATATGAAAATAAACACGCTATGCCACAAACTCCCCTAAGACTGGGCTGAGTCACATTTTCAACTTGAACTTAAAAGACATAATTTGAGAAGGCAGACGGGTTTAAATCTGCCATTCTTAGCTGAAAAAAAGAGCTTTATCTCCCTCTGGCTTCATTCGAGTGTTAATGGAGAGCAGCCTGGTGTTTGAGGTCAGTTATGTAAATGACTGGGGGTATGGGCTTTCTAATTTTATGTAACGAAGAAACTTTTACGAATTTCAGCCAAATCTTTAGATACGAGTCGAGTTATTACTGGTTTCTTTTTATAAAGGGCCTACAGATGAATAGAAATAGCAATATCTCAGGTTTTATTTATAAAATGGAGATAAAGCGTTTTGCTAAATCTCTGCAGGAGTGATGCTGGGTTAGGACTGGCGGGAGATGTTCTTAATAGATGAAGTAAAGCTGTTGCAAATGAGTCTTGCAGATAACTGGGAATATAAACTGAAGAAGTCAGAGCCCAGAGTTTGTTGTGTCTCGCTCACACCCTAAAGGTTGGCTTAGAAACCAACTCAAAGACTGTTTGTAGCATATGTCTGCCTGTCTGTCTGTCTATCAGTTTGTCTGTCTATCTATCTATCTGTCTGTCTGTCTGTCTGTCTGTCTGTCTGTCTGTCTGTCTGTCTCTATGCTTGTTTTCCTGACTCTTCCGACTTCGTTGATGTGGATGATTTTTTTTTTCCTTTTCATACTGGTACATAAGATAATTTTTAAGTTCTATATATATAAAAAAACCTTCCCAGTTACTGTCTTAAAATAATTATTTTATTTCCTATTCATAATTTTTTATGCTTATAATCCTGCCGAAATATGTTCTTACATCACTTATACCGTTTATGTAATGTTAGTAATGTTAGTATTGTTTAATGTTTATTTTGTTTTTCTATGAATGCCCCTCCGACACCCCTCCCCTCTCTCATTTCCGTCTTTCTTTCTATCTTGCTGTCCCTCTTTCTCTTTCATCTCTCCTCTCTTTCTTTTTTTCTCTCTCTCTTTCTATATTCCTCTCTCTCTCTCTCTCTCTCTCTCTCTCTCTCTCTCTCTG